GGGGGGGGGGGGAGAGATCCCAAGGGGGAAAAAAAAAAACTTCACCGTCTCAGCCAGAACTGACTGGAGGAATTATGGCCACCTCGTCAAACTCGTTGAGCGTAGGACCCTCTTCCCCTTCCGCCGATGGCACGTCTACATATTCGAGGTTGACCGTCACGAGGCACGACACCAGAATCTTGGCACCAATCCCGGGATACCGCGACTCCAACTGAACAAAGAGTTCCCCCAGCGACAACGGGGCGGCTATTGACTCGACGTCCTTGCCCGTGTAGGAGCTTGCGCCGGCAAAGTAGAGCACATTGAAGTGGCCCTTGGGAGGTTTCGATGCCATGACCCTTTTTTTGTGTGTATGGGACGTTCTCTCCTAGTTCCTCGATACATTTCCGGTCAGCACGACATGTTCTCTTTTCTGACCATGTATCCAGGTTAAAAAAAAAGGAGGATGTGACGAGTTGTTTTGGAGTCAGAGATCTTGGTGATAAAAAAAATTGACATCATAGAAGTTTGTCAGGTAATACATGCTATTAGAGCATCATTCCAAATGGGGGGGGGGGGGGGGGGTGTGAATATGCGGATGAGTGCAAGAGAGAAAAAAAAAAGAACTTGAGCTTACCAGACTGCTTGGATAGACGCCAGGTCCCGGCTGTTGAGGAAGTAAAGGATGGGAGTGATGAAGGGAGAAAAGTTCCGGTCTCAAATTCCCGGAAGAAACCAGACGCCTTTATTCTTTTTTTTCTCTCTACTCTTCATTTTTCCTTGGCTTACCATCTTTCTTCGTGCATGTCACGTGACTATGTGCTACCCTATGTACCTTTGTGATGATTTTCCCGGAATTTCAAGCTACGAGATATCAATATCAGGACTCAAGTTGAAAAGATCAATTCGCTTTCAAGATCTTTTTCAATGAAGAATTCTCATGAGTGGAGTTTTTCTTTCTTTTTCTTTCCTTCTTTCTTTCTTTCTTCTTTGTCGAATGACGATGCACGTGGCTGATGATTGGAAACGTAATATTCGGCTGGAGAGATTGCTAATGATGATCTCCCAAAGTCACATCAAGATCCATTTCTCTCCGCTCACAGCCTCATAATGCCAGATTTTCTCGTGAATAGGCAACACCTGTAGGACCATGCAAGTCTTGGATGTGAACCTTCACGTACACACCACCGATCAGATATATATATATATATATATATGAAATTAAAAAAAATGTCGGCTACCATTAAGGGGTATCGTTACAAAACTCAGAAAGTTCCGTTTCGAGCTTCTTTTCTTCATCATCTTCTTTTTCTCTTGTTTTTCCTCTGAAGGCCTTCCATCATCGGCTACTGCAGACTGGCCAACCTACCCTCCAGATCCTTCACCCACGCTTCCATCACCTTGAGATTCTCCTTGGATGTCCCGTTCCCGTCCCCGATGGACCCCTCCATCTTCTCCAGCCCGGTACGCCACTGCTTGAGCTCCTCGGCCAGACTAGCCTGATCCCGGTCGATGCGGTCGAGCCGCTCGCCCGCGGCGGCGGCGTCGGCGTGGATGACCCTGAGGGAGCGCAGGCGGTCCAGCAGGGGTGGCAGGATGGGTGTGAGGCTCTCGATGGTGGGCAGGATGCCGTAGAGGGCCTTGACCTTGGCCTCCTGCTCCGGCTCTTCGCCGCCTGCGCCGGCGCCGGAGGGCGCCCCGAGCTCCTCGCGCAGCGTCTTGGCCTTTTCGCGCGCGTCGTTGAGCTTGTCCTGCTCTGCTGCCAGGCTGCGCACGCGTCGGCTGATGGCGTCGAGGTTGGCCGTCGAAGCCTGCGCCAGAGTAGAGATCTGCTTCTCCAGAGAGTCGAGAGTGGGCAGTATGGCGCGCCCGAGGCCCTCGGACCCGGCCTCGGGGACCGGGCTCTCGTTGATCCCGAGCCCCCTCTCTAGCATCAGGAGCCGTCGGTCGAACTCGGCCGCCCGCGCCAGCGCGTGGGACTTGTCGTATGTGGGTGCGTAGGTGACCGTGTATGTGGCTTCGCCGTTCACAGGCACGGCCGCCGTCGCCGTCGCCGTCGCCGTCGCATCTCGCTCCTCCCCGGACGGGGGTGCGGGTGCGGGCAACGGGGCGGCGGCAGGCGTCGTGTGCGCCGTCCCGACAGGTCTCGAGATCTCATCGAGCACGTGGGAAAGGGACTGCAGCCTGTCCAGGCCGCCCTCGGCCTGGGACTCTGACGCCACGCCGGGCGGTGGTGCCTCCTTCTTCCGGGCATACACCTCCTTGACCTCCTCCACCTCGCGCCTCAGACGGGCAATCCTCCTCTCGAGGCTCTCGTCGTCGTCGTCGTCGGATAGGTCGCCGAGCTCCCGGGTGCCGTCCTGGAGGATCCTCTGTCGGCGGCTCGAGGCCTTGTACGACTTGCGCTTGCCGTCCACGCGCTCCGAGAAGTCAACGCCTTCCGAGCTGACGTGGGCGGGGAGGAAGTGGGCACGGGCCTCGTCGATGCGGAGGCGCGACCTGGAGATGATCTGTGTGTCGTCTTCGACGTCGTAGAATTCGTCGTCGGATTGGGCGTGGGTGGCAGTCTGGGAGAGGCACCAGAGTCAGCGGATCGATTGATCGATGGCAGCAGTTTCAGCAAGCGAGAAGAGAAAAAAAAGGGGGGGGGACTGTTCTTTGGTCATACCGGCACAGTAGATGTGTCGTCGGTCAGTTCGGGCGTCTCGTAAATGTCCGGAGCATCATCCTGCGCAGTATTAGCCGGTGCACGTTGGATTGCAGATGGTCTCGATGTGATGATCCTCGAGGCGTGTGCGGGCTTGGACGGACCATGTCTGGAAGGCCAGCGTATTTGCGTTCGCGAGCCATGGCTTATGGTGTGATGGCGGCACGCCACGGTCAATCTTTGAGCGCGACTTGTCGTACAGATTGGGTGGATGGATTCTGCAGATGTAGACGGGGGAAGTGCAATTCCAGCCTGGGAAGCTGCTGTGATCGCGTAGTCTGTCGGGGTTGGATGTCGGAGTTCAAAGGGGCCGCTCCTGAGAAGCGGCACTGCACTGGAGCCTTTACGGGAGAGCTCCCCCCCCCCCCACTCTGCTTTTTCCAGAGTCCCACTACCGATCTGTACATATCAATGTATTAATCTGTGTTACAGGTATACCAACACCTTCGACGGCCCTCAGGAAACGCGTTCAGAGGCAGATCAACATCCCAGCACACTTCATCTCTCTGGATTGACGACGAACTCTCTCAACGTACCGTACCGTATAATGACTTACCCCTCATCCCCGCACGATCAATACACATCTTCCATACCGACAACACGATACCGACCGCCTCTCCCTGGCTTTCCGGCTACATGTATTATCCTTCAGCACGAAAAGACTCCCGGGAACAGCTTAGATAATCCAGCGTGAGGCTCGGGACAAACCTCACCGTGAGACAGATACTAAGAGCACTGAGCGTCAGTGGCCGAGCCAAATCCTGGGTATTCATGTGAGCTGTCTCGGCACGTTGCTGACAGAAAATCACTACCATCAGACCGCTCTGGAATGCAGACCTTCACTGTGTACTGCTCTGCATGTATTGTAGCCGGCAAAGAGCTATTCTGCCATCTTCACTTAGAGCTATCCGGCACGGAGCTCGTAGACGAGCGGTGCCCGTAAGTCGACCACCTCGCCGTCGGAGATATTATCCTCAGGTGTTAGAGAGGTGAATATGAACAAGCTCTTGCTGTCTACATGAACCTATATGGCCTCTCGGCATCTGGTTGTGACGAAGGGGAGCTCAGATCTCGAGGAAGAAACTGACAATATACCGAGAGAGATGATGGAACTCTTGGGGAAATAGCAGACGGCGATTTCTATCACCGATGAGGAAAAGGCAACCTCGGAAAAAAAAAGATTCTTCAGACGAGAGAGTAAGGGAAAAAAAAACATCTTCGTTTTGCTGGTGCGCCTTGAAAGAAGAATCAATGTTGAATCGTGGACATCTTCACAAGAAGAGGGATCGCTTGGATACGTAAAACGAACGACAGGGCGGTGCACGTGATCCAAAGCGGAATCCCTGACTGCGAAACAATACAGACAGGTTACAGGTAAAATAATATCAACTGTACTGATTGATGTATGGAGTACAGCTACAACAGGCACACCTGCCAACTGCGGAAATACGTTTCGACGACGCGTGAGGTCACTACATCTCACGTCACGTCGTCTTGATCCCATAATCCGACGTAAACAAGCCTCATCATTCCACGTCATGCTTCGTTCCGACAACGCGACCAGGGACGTCCGACTCTAGAACCGCGTCCCCCCTCTGAAGGGGGCCAGCAGATCGTTCTTTCCTCGTGAGCTGTCCGGGACTCGTTTGGTGTCGACTTGTAATCACCTTCCCACATGTGGCGACGGCCTTCTGGCTACGAAGCAATGCTACCACCTCACATTACCTCATCTTCCCCTTGACTCCCCCGCACCCGGTAGCTCAGCCGAGCTTACACACCCACTTCTCGCATCGCACTTATGCCTATCCGCACGGGCCTTTCATATGGCAATCGGCCGAAACCCCTCTTGAGCATGGTGGGCGGGAAACCGAGAGCTGCCTGCGACGGCAAGCCTTCTACCCGAGGCCCGGCGACCGACATCGGCCTTCACTCCACTCCTGCTCAGTCACCGGAGAAGACGGACCGCAGCGCCAGCCCAGACGGTGACAGCGGAAGCACCGAGAAGAAGGCCGGCGAGCGCAGGGCACCATCTCAGTTTCAGAGCTTTGGCGACTCGTCGGATGAAGATGACGAGGGGATACCGCGCGGAAGCATAGCGCCGACGAGCTTTGGCTCTGGCAAGAGGGCAGCTCCCCCCTCACCCGGGGTCACCAGACCCACCGAGGACGCGAAGGGAAATGCCGATGGCGCCAAACGGAGGAGGTTGGGCGCTGACGTGAAGGCATCTCCGAGTCCCGGGGACCAGACGCCAAAGTCGTCGCAGCCAAAGAGCTCACAGCCGGAGAGTTCGCAGGAATCGTCATCGACACGGCCGCCTGCAAGCTCTGGAGAGCACATGGTAGACTCTCTCGGCTTCACCAAGAAGTCGAGAGTCAAGGCAACATTCGGGGCCAAGGGGACCAAGGGGACCAAGGGGACCAAAGGGTTGGCGAGGAAATTCGGTCAGGTCGGGGCACCGCCTGATCGAAAGAGCAAGCCGAAGCCCACAAAAGGTAATACGCACACGTACGGCATGCGTGCGGCAGAACCCAGCCTCGGTCTCTGGCTGGACAGTGCTAACTCTGTTAAACGTAGCTCCGCCCAGTAGCTTCATCCCGCCGCCGTCGAGCGATATTGGCTCGCCGCCACCGCCTGAGGGCGAGAGAGCAGGAGGATTCAAGTCACTTGCCGGGCTGTCAGACTCTTCGGCACCGGACAGTCCCAAGTCCAAGTTCGAGGCGAACACCGAGGCCGATGACAGCGACCCATCCACGCTGACTCCGCCTAGAAAGACCAAGCCTGCGAAGAAGAAGGCGACGGGCAATCCGATATCGAGGGCCAGGATAAGCGCCGACAACAGCGACGACGACGAGCAATCAAAACGCCCACCGCCCGTCTTCAAGACCTTTGACGACGACGACGACGACGCCGTCAATCTTCCTGTACGGAAGGCAGCCGGTAGTGAGTCGGAGACGGCCACGTCAGATATCTTGTCGGACCACGACGAGCCCGCCGCCGACGCCACCACCACCACCGCCACCACCGCCGCCGCCGCCACCACCGATGCCACCACCTCCCCTAGAGCGGCGGTGTGTCCCTGGTGTGGCGAGGCGGTAGATGCGCTGCTGCTGCAGGACTTCTCACGGGGCCAGAAGCGCCTCAACGTGCGGCAGCAGACTCGCTTCTGCCGCAGGCATAAGAATCAGAAGGCGGCCGACATGTGGAGCGCGCGGTCGTACCCGTCCATAGACTGGGATGCGCTGAGCGACCGGATCGCGGGGCACCACGACTTCTTGCTGAGCGTGATCGACGGCTCCACCCCCTCGCACTACCGCGACGCGCTGGCGTCCAAGATCGAGTCGGGTCAGGACAGGGCCCTCAAGAGGGAGGAGAATCTCAACCCGGGTTACTACGGCCCCCGAGGGTTCAACCTCATGTGCGACCGACTCGTCGATCGTTTCAGCGACATGCTCAAGCAGAGGGCCGTACACGACCGCGTCATATCCGGAAGGGGTTCGGCTGCCTTCATCCAGTCCGTGTTGGTTGCCGAGTTGGGCGTCCAGCTGATAAAGGAGGATATGGGTGTCTCCGCTGACGAGGCTACGAAGATATTGGAGGAGAGCAAGGGTATTGGAGAGATGATTCACGAAGAATAGTGATGTATATACATCAGCACGTATATATTGTCCTTTCCCCCCCCCTCTCTCTCCCTCCCTCTCTCTCTCTCTCTCTCTCTCTCTCTCTCTCTCTCTCTCTCTCTCTCTCATATCACGTATCCCACGTATCTCATCGTCACGAAGGACGGTATTCCTCGGGTACTTCTTTTTGTCGATTTCACGGAAAGGGGAACTGGACGTACCACTTCTTGCTTATGCAGAATCATGTTACATTGATGATCGTGCCATATTTAGGCATGATGATAGAGCCAACATATAGACTACAATGAATAGTATCTACTACTACCACTACTACCACCACCACTACTACTACTACTACTACTACTGCTCCTGCTACTACTTACTACTACTTACTACTACTACTTACTACTACTGCTACTGCTACTGCTACTGCTAACTGCTACTGCTACTGCTGGCATTGCACATGACGATGCGATGATGCGCACCAACTCCGTCGTCGCTCTCCAGATGACGGGTCTATTGCAATACAATCACATGCACGAAACTCAAGATGCCCGACATTTCAGAAGGACACGCAACGCATGTAGGGAGACTACATGTGCAACTCTTTCGGCTGAGCTCCTCAATTTCCATATTACTCTCGAAAATGCCACCGTGCCAGGTGCCAGGTGTCAGGTGTTTGGTGTTGAATCTTGGTTCCTGACCCTGATCCCGACTGCATCCGATAGATGGGCTGCATATTGATACAAGTGCGTGCTCACCAGCACCTTCCCTTCCCATTGAAACTCCCAAGTGCCGATAATCCCCTCTTGCTTACGCCCTCGCGCGTTTTCCGAACTGGTATACCACCCTCTCTCTCACAATCACCCGCCCTAGGACCTTTCTGCTGTCGGAAATTCGTGATGGAAAGCCCTTTGATGCCATGTCTTCTGTTCACCGCGGGGAGCAGTCTACTGTTCATCATTGTCGTTCCGCTTCGCCTTTACAGGCTGTCACACGAACCCGTCAAGACCATATCGGAACATGCTCATTACCCCTCTGTGGTACATGTACGCATACCATCAACGTCGATTCAATCGACGATGTCGTCTCCAAGACCCGGGACTCGCTGGCTGACCACGTTTCTGATGTTAAGTTGATCCATGTAGCACTGCCTCTCGCCCAGCTCATGTACTGCGACGCCATTGCAGACTATTTTGGGACCAAGTTCCCGTCTAAACTCCTTCCTGCGGCAGCTCTTCTGTCATTCTTCTCCTGTCTGGCCGTCTACCCGCTGCTATGGCTTCAACACTCGCGCTCCATCAAGCCGTCCGACTTGGCTGTCGGCTACCTCCTCGTGACCGTGATGTGCGATATTGCGACGTCCATCTTTGGTACCCCCCAAACTGGCCAGTTCTTGGCATACGATGTGGCCAAGATCTACACAAAGGTCTCGGTGATCTTGATCGAGTCCTTCTCGAAGAAATCCATACTGCAGGGGCCGTATGCGCAGCAATCACCAGAAAATCTAGGAGGCCTTCTCGACCGCATGCTCCTCCTCTGGGTGAATGGGGTGCTATACCAAGGGTGGCGCGAGGTCCTCGCGGGGGCCAGTCTTCCGCCGATGGAAAGTAGACTGTCTTTCAAGTTCTTGCGACAGAGGGCCTTGCGATCCTGGGGAAGGAGAGGTACGTTTKTKTTTYTTTTTTTYTTYTTTTTTTTTTTTTTTAAAAAAAAAAAACAAGAACAAACACAAAACGAAACGGGAATGTGTAGAAAAGGAACAAGATGCCTGACGGCTAACACTACTATAGGTAGACGGGATACGAAACTGACATTGCCCAAGGCTCTTGTCCGAAGCATGCTGTGGTTATCCTTCATCCCCATAGCTCCCCGACTCTTTCTGATCTTCTTCCGCTACTGCCAACCTGCCATCGTCAGCGAGGTCATCCGGTACATAAAGAACCCATCTGGGCAAGACTCACAACGGGGGCATGCTATCGTCTTTGTATCTGCTATCGTCTATATCGGTCTAGTGGTAAGTCATGCTATAGCCTTGCTCTTGGGACATGGACTTCTATACTGAGATGATTTCCAATAAACAGGTAAGCAAGGTGGAATACCAGCGCTCCATCGACCAGCTACGCATCGCCACGAAGGGGGTCATCGTGGGACTCGTCAACAACAAGTCTCTATCCCAGCCTTCGAACGCGTATGAATATGGGAGAGCCGTGTCCCTACTGAGCACTGATTCCGACGGCATCGTCCAGAGCGCAAGGATCTTCCATGAGACGTGGGCTCAGATCATCGAGGTGACGATCGGTATGGTCATGTTGGCCCGCCTAGTCGGATGGGTTTGTCCTGTACCGCTTGTCGTTATCTTCTGTAGGTGACCAATCTGCCTCACCACCCCTCCTCTCCTCGCACATGTACTGAGTCTTCTTCACTGCCCCAGGCTGCTCTCAGACGAGTCGCTATCTTGCCAAGAACCTGCAAGCACGGCAAGAGGCTTGGAATATGGGTACCCAGCAACGCCTCGCGACGACGACGTCCATGCTCAGCTCTCTGAAGAGTGTGAAGATGCTGGGTCTCAGCGACTATATAGAGTCGCTTGTATCCTCTCTGAGGAAAGATGAGCTGTACATGGCCGAACGGATTCGCCGGATGATGGTTGCCCACAACGCAAGCGGTAAGTTCCCTGTCGCATAATTATTGTAGGCCGACTCTGACCGATGTTAGCCAATGCTTCGGTAATATTCTCTCCTATCCTCACGATCATAATATACGCCCTCGTTTCCCGCTGGAGGGGATCGACTCTCGATGTCGAGACGGCTTTCACGGCGACCGCCCTCCTTGGGCTGGTGACACACTCGGCAAGCATGATCATGGCTATGGTCCCGCAGGCATCAGGGTCTCTGGCTGCCTTTGAGCGTGTCAGACAGTACCTATCACAGCCAGACAAGCTAGATCAGAGATCGGTGTCCAATGGTCCGAATTCTCCCGACATCACCCTTGAAAATGTCTCTGTGCTGCCGTCCCCGTCAGTGAGCCCCATCCTTTCTGGTGTCAGCCTAACCGTTACCAAGGGCTCCATAATCGTCTGCTCTGGGCCGGAAGGCAGCGGAAAGTCGTGTCTGGCCAAAGCCATTCTTGGAGAGGCCCCCATCAGCAACGGAGCGATAGCCGTGTCTACCAGACGGATTGGGTACTGCCAGCAGTCCCCTTGGCTGCCAAACCAGACATTGAAGCAGGCTATATGTGGTTTCTATTCAGAGGATACATTGGGGTATAGAGAGGTTGTTAGACTGTGCTGTCTTGATCAAGATATTCTGTCCCTGCCCGACGCAGACGAGACAATGATTGGCAGCGGCGGGTCAAACCTTTCTGGGGGACAAAGACAGCGTGTAGTATGTTTGGATACCCCTCCGGGCTCTTGACAGGTGATTATCTCGTTACCGGTGACAAGACGCTGACGTTCATATCCACGACAGGCGCTTGCCCGTGCCTTGTATTCCCGCACCGGTATCGTCCTTCTGGATGACTGTTTCAGTGCGCTCGATGGTACTACTGAAGGGCGCATCATCGAAAACCTCTTCGGCCCGAGTGGATACTTTAAGAAGCAAGGCATCACCGTTCTACTCTTCACACGCTCTGGTGAGTTTAGGCACGATACACCCAGTTGGAATTTTCTTCCTAGGGATCTTGACTAACTCGCATGCAGCTTCACATTTTGCTCTTTCGGATTGGCTCGTCATCCTGGGCAACGGCTCTATTACCTACCAAGGAACGTATGACGATCTGAGGGAAAAGCCTGATCACGCACCAGAGATTGATAGGAAAGAGACATCCGAAGGCCAGGGAGTTCGTGTAGACGAGAATGTCCAGATACAAGGCTTGACGCTGACCGAGGCTACATTCGACTGCGATACAAGAGCAACGGGGGATCCATCACTCTACGGTAAGGGCTCAGCCTGCGTAAGCACAACCCTCGTCTTCTCATTCTCACCTTCCTCTTCTTCTTATAGGCTACTACATTGAGGCCATGGGCCGCCGCAACTTCTTTCTCTTTTTGATCTGCACTGCGCTGTACTCCTTCTTCATCACCATCCCCCTGTATCTGCTACAGCGATGGACTGAGGCGCCGCCATCCAAGACACTGTTCTATATCGGTGCCTATGCCGCCTCATCTTTCCTGGCTTGGTCTTGCGCACATGGTTCCATGTGGTGTGTTCGTTCCAGAATACCGCCTATCGTGTAGGAAGATGAACTTGCTCACCTTTATCCGCACAGGGCGACGCAGATCCGCATTGCACCAACGTCGGGAACCAAGCTACACTCCCGTCTCCTCTCCACAGTGATCAGGTTTGTCAATCATGCATCGCATGCCCAGGCTCCTCGAAATACTGACGTCGACATAGTGCTCCGTCAGCTTACTTCTCTGGTACTGGTGCTGGTGTCATACTCAACCGGTAAGTTGGCATATCATATGCCGCGCCGGTCGCAGGAGACTAATCAAAGCATATCCCTCTTCGCATCCTTTCTAACCTTTCCTTATTTGCTGCGCATGAGGAGATGGGTTCAGTGTGAAGTGAGAGACCCAATCGCGATAGGCATATGCTAACCCGTGGAAAGATTCAGTCAGGATATCCAGCTCGTCGACAGACAGCTGCCAGCTGCCATACTGTCCATCTGCAACCGTACGTCATGGTGTTTCCGTCACCCCTCATCTTGAACAACACTGACGACAGGTTCAGAGACCTTCGAGCTCATGGTACAAACCACCCTGCTCTTCAGTGCGCAAAACTTACTCGCAGCTACACTGCCGCTTTGCGTTGCAGCAGTGTACTTCGTCCAGAAGGTGTACCTGCGTACACTACGGCAGCTTCGACTGATAGACCTGGAGTCGCATTCGGCGGCGCACTCCAACTTTGTTGAATCGGCAAGTCAGCACATCTTGGCCAGATATGCATACGCGTTCCCCCCCCCTGGTTCTTCCTCTGTCTAATACGTGGAACAGATCGAGGGCATTGCCACAATCCGCGCATTTGGCTGGGAAGAACAGGTAGAGCAGCTGAACACCTATTACCTTGATAGGGCCCAGAAACCGACCTACACACTCTTCTGCCTCCAACAATGGCTTGGTGTCGTGCTGGACCTCATTGTCGCGGCCATCGTGATCGGTCTCATCAGCCTTGCTGTTCTGTCGGGAACGACAGCCGGACAGATCGGGATGGCGCTGAACATTGTCCTTGTCGCCAATACGACTCTGTCGGGTCTAGTGACATCCTGGATGAATATGGAGATGTCTCTCGGAGCAATGTATGTTCAACGCCCTGCCCTGCTTCCGTGCACTTCTCGTCTCTCCCGTAACGATCCATCTGTTAACCCACTACCAGCTCTCGTATAAAGACATTCGAATCAGATACCCCGAAGGAGGAAATGCCGCTCGAACATCATGAGCCTGGCACGGATTGGCCCTCGGTGGGGGCTGTCGAGTTGGTGGATGTCGCGGTAGCGCATGGGTAAGGAACATCCCTCGGGCGCAGATGGCAGAAGCTAACACTTCCGAAGCCCCGACTCACATGCCCTCCAGGACATCACCATGACGATACCCGCAGGAGGACGGCTGACTGTGTGTGATGGCACCGGAAGGTAGGAGGCCGGGCAGATCCCGACAACAGTACGAGGACATATAGCTAACTCGTAGCTTCGGCATGACACAGTGGAAAGAGCACCCTGATGTTGACCCTCCTACGTCTTCTGGACCTCCAGTCTGGAAGCATCAGAGTGGATGGAATCGACCTGAGTCTAGTTCCACGATCTTTGGTTCGCCAGAGGTGCTTCATCACGGTGCTACAAGACCCCTTTATCCTTGACCAAGTCAGTCTTCGCTTCAACCTCGATGTAAGCCAGTGCTCGCTCCATTTATCCCCCTTCCCACTTCTTATTGTGACGTTAAATGCCAAAAAAAAAGAAGGAAAAAAGAAAGAAAAAAAACAACTAACAAACCCATAGCCCTCTGGGACCCATCCGGAGAAAGCAATCATCCTGGCCCTCGAGAAAGCCACACTCTGGTCTCATTTCATCTCGGACCAACCTGTCCCTGACTCTGCCAAGATCCTGGACAGTCCTATCTCGTCGTTGCCGCGCATGTCATCTGGCCAGTCGCAGCTCTTTGCACTGGCCCGCGCCGTCTTGCGGCTCTGGAGTCTCCGTCAGCCAACTGATCTGCTTCCTCGTGCCATGCCCATCTTGCTTCTCGAGGAGGCTACCTCTTCGCTCGATTTGATTGAGGAAGGTGCTGTGCGGAGCATCGTCCGCGAGGAGTTTGCTGAGCGTGGACATACAGTGATCTCCATCACGCAAAGGGCATCCGGGTCTGACCGAGGGACGCAAGCTCTAGACTTGCCTCTTGGATAACGGTCGGCTCATGATAATCACCAGCCGTCAACCATTACACGCGGTCGTAGCATCCTGGTGACACCAATCTGAGGCGCAAAACATCTGCGAGATGGCGGCAGGCAACCGTAAAGTTGACGATGCTGATCTACAGCCCGGCAATGGCTGCGCCCCGCTTCAGCACCCATGATTGACATCGACATGGGCACTGTCTCCCAAGATGTAGGCGGAGAGGGATGTCGTCTTGATAGTCAATGTCAGTGGTGCCATCTAGTTCCCGTAGTTTGAGGGGTACTGCCACCATCTGTTCGGATAGCACTCACCGTCTCGCAGTCAGTAGCGCGTCGTACCAGGTGTGCATGGTACGATGCCTGTTATTTATGGAAAGTATTGATCAATCGCATTCTCCGCTATTCTGCATGGCTCTTCCTCGTCGATAGCCTGCATGAGATGAGACAGCGACTTGGATGGACTGGGTTACATCTTGTCAATTCCGATTCCACCTAGGGCCTCGACTACTTTCCTGGAACGCATCACGATCCATTGTACGTGAGAGAGAGAGGGAGAGAGGGAGAGAGGGAGAGAGAGAGAGAAGAGAGAGGAAGAGAGAGAAGAGAGAGAGAGAAGAGAGAAAAGATCCCTTTCGGTCAATGTCTGTGACCCCTGGCCCCCAACCTGGAATGGAAAAGAAAAAGAAAAAAAATCATGCTGGACCGCCATCCCTTCCCGGACTGGCCATCGAGTGTTTCTGCCCGAACAGGGGACAGACGACATTGAAGGCTGAAGGCTGCCTATGCCCAAGCTGTCCCTCGTCGACAGTCTGCAGAGCTGATGAAAGACGGCCGGTCAATCAAGAAGCCGAAAGGTATGAGAAGAACTGGGTCGGTCCAGGGTTGTACGCATAAGCTCAAGGAGTACATGTACGGGTACGAGGGACTCGTAACATGACAAGCCATGGAAACGCCGTCCCAAGGGTTAGCACAGCAGCATTGATGCCCCACGATCGTCAACCCCGCAGTGACAGTCTGTCAGACCCCGTTATCCCTGGGCTCCTGGGCTCCTGGGCTCCTGGGCTGAGGTCCCCTTCTCCCACCCCAAAGGTATGTGTTAAAAAGACGGACCATGCTTCTGTCACGCAATCGTTTCTTCCTAGCTCTCTCTCTCTTTTTGAAATTTGAAAATTTAATTTTCCCTCCCCCCTAGTCTTTGGGACTAATCTCTCTCTCTCTCTCTCTCTCTTGCGGTGTTCTCGGCATTTGGATATTCCCATCATACCATCTCTTAGCTCGAGATTTCCAGCTCTGGTGTAATACCTGACAGCTCGATCAACCGGAGAAAACGTCATGGCCAGCGCTGCGGCGAAGAAGCTCCAGCGTGCCTGGTGGAAGGAGAGCTCCGTCTACCAGGTCTACCCGGCCTCGTTCCAGGACTCGAACGGCGATGGGCTGGGCGACCTCAAGGGCATCATCTCGCGTGTGGACTACCTCAAGAACCTGGGTGTCGACATCGTGTGGCTGTCGCCCATCTTCGAGAGCCCCCAGGTCGACATGGTAAAGTGCAGACCCTGTGACCGGGTACCGGGAGCCAGCTGGAGGCTTGGTTTGCTGACTGACGGCCGCGATGACCATCGCCATGCAGGGTTACGACATCAGCAACTATAGGAAGATCGACCCTTCATACGGGGACATTGGCGACGTCGACGTGCTGAGGGACAGGCTGCACGAGCGAGGCATGAAGCTGGTCCTCGACCTGGTCACCAACCACACCAGCGACCAGCACCCCTGGTTCAAGGAGTCTCGCAAGTCCAAGGACAACCCCTTCCGCGACTGGTACATCTGGAAGCCGCCCAGGTACGACGCCGAGGGTAACCGTCAGCCGCCCAACAACTGGGACGGCCATTTCCAGGGTACGTACACGGACCTGCGCAGAGACGCGTCGACGCCGTCGGGGAGGGGATGGGCACGAAGGGCAGGACGCTGATCTCTCTCGCTCGGCATCGTCATCCTCTAGGCAGCGCCTGGGAATACGACGAGGCCACGGACGAGTACTACCTCCACCTGTACGCCAAGGAGCAGCCCGACCTCAACTGGGAGAACCCCAAGGTGCGGGCCGAGGTGCACGGCATCATGCGCTTCTGGCTGGACCGGGGCTGCGACGGCTTCCGCATGGACGTCATCAACTTCGTCAGCAAGGACCAGAGGTTCCCAGACTCCGACGAGACGGTCCTGCGCGGCCACGAGTACTACGCCTGCGGGCCCCGCTGCCACGAGTTCCTCCGCGCCATCGGAGACATCCTCAAGGAGTACGACGCTTTCAGCGTCGGGGAGATGCCCTGCGTGACGGACCCGGACGAGCTCGTCAAGGCCGTCGGCGCCGACCGTGGAGAGCTCAGCATGATCTTTCACTTTGAGCTGTGAGTCTCTCCCCCTCTCCCCCTCTCTATCTCTCTCTGCCTTCGGGTGGGCTGTTTGCGATGACGATACTGACTGCGAGTGTGCCCCCCCTCCCAAACCAAGGATGAACATTGACCACGGTCCTGAGGGCAAATTCTCAGAGGGTAAATGGGACCTGGCCAGGCTCAAGAAGACGGTTTCCAAGTGGCAGAGATTCATGATTGACCACAACGGGTGGAACGCTCTATACTTGGAGAACCACGATCAGCCCCGCGCGCCCAGCCGCTTCGCCTACGACACGCCCGGGCTGCGGGAGCGCAGTGCCAAGATGATTGCCATCTTTCTGGGATTCCAGTCCGGCACGCCTTTCGTGTATCAGGGCCAGGAGATTGGCATGACGAACGTTCCCAAGGATTGGCCCATCGAAGAGTACAAGGACATTGATTGCCTGAACCATTGGAAGTGAGCTCTCTTCTTCTCTTGTTCCTCACCTCTCCTCTTCCCACATCTTTTCTTCTTCTTCTTCTTTCATCTGGCATGTTCCGTTCAGAAGAAGGAGAGGATCGTGCCGAACAGAAGATGGGAAGATCCTGGACATACCACAGACCTGACAGGTTGCAGCCTCCACAAGGATACCGCCGACGCCGAGACCAGGGCAGAGTACATGAGCAGCTACCAGAAGAAGGCTCGCGACAACTCCCGGACGCCCATGCAGTGGGACGGCAGCGCGCAGGCCGGCTTCACGACGGGCGACAAGCCGTGGATGCGCGTCAACGACAACTACGAGACGGTCAACGCCGGATCGCAGGTCGACGACCCCGACTCGGTATACCACTGCTACCGCCAGGTGCTGGAGAAGCGCAAGGCCGACCGGGAGGTGTTCGTCTACGGCGACTGGGCGCTCGTCGACGAGCCCAACGAGTCCGTCTTCGCGTACAAGCGCATCGCCGCCGACGGGAGGACGGCGCTGATCGCCTGCAACTTTACCGACAAGGAGGTCAGGTGGGACGCCGGCGTGGCTATCGAGGAGATCCTCGTGACGCCGGGAGGCAAGAAGCTGGAGGATGTGGCTTCTGGAGTGATTACGCTCGGTCCCGTTGAGGGATTGGCAGTGCTGGTGTAGACGTCATTGGCAGGACGGGGAGAGAGGAAGAGAAGGAGTCATACTATATATATATGTGTGTGCGTGTGTGCGTGTGTGCGTGTGTGCGTGTGTGCGTGTGCGTGTGCGTGTGCGTGTGTGTGCGAGAGAGTGGGAGAGAGAGATTAAGAGATTTATTTATATATATATATTTTTTTTTTTTTTAAAAAAAACCCCAATCAACCGAATGTAATATTCCATACTCGATCGAGAGCAAGAATCTTGCTACCTCATTGGGAACTTCCGAGACTCTTTTTTCCTGCCTCTCTAATCTGTACACTCGTATCTCGTAACCGGTGTACCCTGACAGGTACGGAGCAATGATACGGTAATACTGGTACTTCAGGCTTCGTACAGATAGAAGGACGAGTATCAATCATTGCTCGGCAATATACACTGTACATGTAGGCAATATCATCATCTCCTCACGAGCATTACTCCGTATCAACCACAAGGCAGTAATACATGTGCATGTACGGATCACTCCGTACGTATGTACGAGTAGTTGATTATTACATAGCGGGTGCACTACTACCACGACTCCCCCTCCCCCTCTTCCCTTTTCCATCCTCCCCTCCTGCTCTCAAGAGTCTCTAGAGCTCCTCTCTCCTTCTCAGGAGAGTGACGGAGAGCCTAGTAGAGATGATGATACTCCGTAGAGGTCGAGTTCCCAGCAGATCCACCTCTCCGCTCGGGGCTTCGGGTACGCGGTATCAGCAGACCACTCGTACTGGCAGAGCAGGGAGAGCAGGGAAGAGGAGCCAGGGAAGGGCAGGGGGGCTGAGGGGATGCGTCACCCTCGCCCTCACCATGCTGGGCGGCTAATTGGCGGGTGGGTGGGTGATCCTTGCCCTCGAACCAGCCAGGTTTTTTTTTTTTTTTTTTTTCCGCTGTGCGGGAACGTGGAGGAGGAGGGACTTGGATTTTGGCATCATGCCATCGATATCAAGTCAGTATTAATACCTTTTGTGGATGCGTGCGGCTAAGACTCCGGGGATCGGGGAGACGCTGGCATATACACACACATGCACACATACACACACACACACACACACTTACACACATACACACATACACATATACACACATACACACATACACATACACTTACACACATACACATACACTTACACACATACATATACACCCATACACACATACATACACACACACACATCGCACACACATACATACGAAAAGAAGAAGAAGAAGAAGAAGAAAAGATTCCGTCACCAGGCATTGGGACCGTCCCCACCTTGTAGAAGCTGCATCGTCATCACCCTTTCTTCCTCACTCTCGGGCCTTTGGCTGAGAGGCTCGTTCTAGGCGTGAAACCTGGTGTGAAGTCGTGATCGATAAAAGATGATGATGCCGGGGTATTATGAGTATTATCCTGCTGGCAGCTCCGTCTAGCACTGGATCGGCAGTGACGGTTGACATACCACCTCTACCAGCAAAACCGCTCGCTACCAGCAGTGCAGCTAGCAGCTATTAGCTAGAGCAGCTGCTTCGATCTACTCCGCACCCGCACCAGCTCACGCATTCCATCCTCTCCACCAGCACGTAGCTTCGCCTCATCCTCATCCCGCCTCCTTCCGCACCTTTCGTTTCGCCGTTTAGAGTTTTTTTTTTTTTTTTTTTTTTTTTTTTTT